GGGTGCTATGCACAAACAATGAATCATGGAACACTTCATCTAAAACTAATGATGTAATGTATGGGGATTAACATAAGAATAAAAATAAAAAAAAAAAATCCTTAGGAATAAATGTGACCAAGGAAGTGAAAGAGCTGTATGCTGAAAAGTATGAAACACTGATGAAAAACTTGAAGAAGACACAAATAAATGGAAAGATGTCTTTGTTTTGCGTGGCCCCGGTGAACCTGTGAATGCCGATAAAGATTCCCAGCCCCACTCTTGACCTGTGAAATAGGATTTCTGCTGATGGGCCCAGAAAAGTGTTTTTAGAAGCTCCACATGAGTCCTAATGCAGCTAGTCCAAGGGCTTGCATTTGAGAACTACTGGACTTTTTTCTCATTTTTGCCTGTCTATATCTTGTCTCTGGCTTAGATTATAGCACTTGTAACACTTGATTTTATCTGTTTACTACTTTGTATTTCCAATATTATTCTGATAAGCTTCTTGCCTGGAGGCATAGTAGGAACCTAAACATTCTCACGTGGTGTCTGCCTTTCCTTTGGTCTTTCTCACTGAATATTTTCTCTTCTTCCTATCTTGTTTCTGCTTACCCATTGGGTGGGACTAATCTGGCAGTACTTTGTTCCCAGCCTACCCAACTATATATTTTCTTTCTCCTTACAGGATTTCCCATTTCTAACCCTCAGCTGATCTGCCTGCAAGGAAGAGGGGAAATGCCATGGGTTCCAGATTTAAGGGAAATTCAGGATGAAGAAGACCAAAGCACTTGACCGAGTGAGTGAACAAATTATGAAATAGGACATTTTCCAGGGTATTTTTTGGTGTGGATCCCTTTTTATTAGCCCTGGTGCTTATCTGGGGGACTCCTTTTGGTTTTGTGGTGGTGGTGGTGGTGGTTTTACAAAAGCTGAAATATTTCTTCAGTTTTGGAAATATTGCTTATATCATAAATGTCTCATCTTCATTTTTTCTCTCCTGTTCTTCTGAACCACCTTAACATTTCTTGCCTTTATGCTTCTCATTTTATTTTCTTCTTCAGCTGTACATTGTGAGACCCTTCGGTTCAACATCATGAGCCTCAGCTACTTCCTGACTGCTATCCATTCCATCTATTGAGGTTTCTTTTTCTGCAGAGAAAAAAAAAAAAAAAGGAGGCTGGGTGACTTAATGGGAGGAGAGAGAGATGAACAAAGGTTATGTGGAGAAGAGCAACTGATGTGTCAAATGCTATCGCCCAGGCTTGTTATGTCAAGGAAAGGCAGAGGAAGGTGGCAAGTGCTGTGTCAAGAAATGGTTTAAAGCTTCAGGGAATATGGTATCTCAACTGGGTCTCAGCAATGAGTCGGATTTCCGCAGATGAAGGTGGGAGAGGAAGAGCATGACACGTGACAGCAACTGCAAAGGCTGTGGCCCTGTGACCAAACGGTGAGGCATGGGGGCATGAGGTGGCGGAGCCAGGGGGCTATCTGCAGTGTTGACTAGATCTATGACTGGGAGAACTATTCCAGGCCAAGTCATAGATCAGGCTAAGTAGGAATGGGGAGGCTGATGCTTCAAAGATGCTGCCAAACTGAAGGGATTTCTGGGAACGTATTACCGAAAATCTCCATTCATCTTACATTCCCTTTCTTTTTCTAGGTCTTTTTGTGTTCGGGCTTCCTTCCTTGTGAGGTGGGACATGCCAGCACACTCTGGGATGGAAGTGAGTATTATGTCAATATGACAAACAGCGCAGTGTTTTTTTTAATTAAGAGACTTCGTTTTTTAGAATAGTTTTAAATTTACAGAAATATTGAGCAGATAGCATAGAGGATTCTCATATCATAGCCCCCCATCACAGTTTCCCCTGTTATTAAGATCTTGCGTTAGTGTGATACATTTGTTATAATTAATAAACTAGTACTAACACATTATTATTAACGAAGTCCGTAGTTTACATTGACATTCAGTCTTTGTGTTGTACATTCGGTGGGTTTTGAAAATGCAAAAAGTCATGTATCCACCGTTACAGCATCAAACAGAATAGTTTCATCATCCTAAAATTCCTCTGTGCTTCACCTATTCATCCCTCCGCTACCAACTCCCGCTACATTGGACCACTGCTAGCCACTGCTAGTTCTGCCTTTTCCAGAATAGCATATAGGTGGAATCAGGCAGTTGTAGCCTTTTCAGACTGGCTTCCTTTCCTTACCAAAATGCATTAATGCTTCCTTCATGTCTTTTCATGTCTTGATAGCTCATGACTTTTTATCCCTGAATCATATTCCATTGCATGGAATAGCACACTTCGTTTATCCATTCATCTAGAGAAGGGCATCTTAATCGCTTGCCAGTTTTGACAGAAAGCTGCACATTTGTGTGTAGGTTTTTGTGTTGACATAGGTTTTCTTTTTCTTTTAACTGCTTTATTGAGGTTATGACTGACATACAGAAAGCTGTAGATATTTAATGTATACAACTTGATGTGTTTGGAGGTAAGTATACACCTCTGAAACTATTATTACAGTCAGTGCCATAAAATCATCCATCACCTTCAAAAATTTCTTCTTGCCCCTGAAACCCAGGTTTGACTCCAAGGTTGAATTCTTTTTTTTTTTATTTTTAAATTTTTATTGAAATTCTAGTTAGTGAACATACACTGTAATATGGTTTCAGGAGTGGAATTCAGTGATTCATCACTTACATACAACACCCAGTGCTCATCACAACAAATGCCCTCCTTGATCCCCATCACCTATTTGACCCATCCCCCTCCCACCTCCGTTCACCAACCCGCAGTTTTTTTCTCAATCATTAAGAGTCTCTTATGGCTTGTCCCCCCCACCCCACCTCCTGTTTCCCCCTTCCCATATGTTCATCTGTTTTGTTTCTTAAATTCCACATGTGAGTGAAATCACATGGTATTTGTCTTTCTGTGACTGCCTTATCTTGCTGAGCATAATACACTCTAGCTCCATCCACATCGCTGCAAATGGCAAGATTTTATTCTGACACAAGTTTTCAATCAGTTTGGCATATCCCTAGGAATGTGATTTCTGTATCGTATGATAAAACTATGTTTACATTTGTAAGGAACTGCCAAAATGACTTCCAAAGTGGCTGTGCCATTTGGCATGTCTTCCCGCAATGAATGAGGGTTCCTGCTGCTCCACACCCCTATCAGCATTTTGTACATCAGGTTTGTTTTTGTGTTTTATTTTTTTATTTTTAGCCACTCTAGTAGATGTATAGGGGTATGTCATTGTTTTAAATTTCAGTCCCCTTATGACGTAGATGATGTTGCCTATTCATATGCTTGTTTGCCTTTTCTATATCTTCTTTGGTGAGGTATATTTTCAGCTCTTTTCCCCATTTTTAAATTGCATTATTTTTTTTTTATGTTTCGTCGTTCTGAAAGGTCTTTGTGTATTTGGAAATAAGGTCCTTTGTCACATATGTTTTGTAAATATGTTTTATCATTCTGTGGCTTGTCTTTATGTTGTCTTAACAGGGTCCGTCACAAAACAGAACTTTTTAATTTTACTAAAGTCCAACTTCTCAAATTTTTATTTCGTTGGGTTATACTGAAGTGTCATCACCAAACCCAGGGTTATGTAGATTTTCCCCTGCGCTGTATTTTATACATTTTCCAGTTTTGGTTTTACATATAGGTCTATGATCCATATTGGGTTAATTTTTATGAAAGATACCAGGTCTGTGTCTAGCTCCTTTTTTTCCTTTTCTTTTCTTTCTTTCTTTCTTTTTTTTGGCATATGGACATCCAGTTCCTACAGTGCCATGTATTGAAAGACTGTTCTTTTATCACTGAATTGTCATTTGACTTTATTTTTTAAAAAATTTTATTTTATTATGTTATGTTAGTCACCATACAATACATCATTAGTTTTTGATGTAGTGATCCAAAATTCATTGTTTTCATATAACACCCATTGCCCCATGCAGTACGTGCCCTCCTTAGTACCCATCACCAGGCTAACCCATCCCTCCAACCCCCTCCCCTCTAAAACCCTCAGTTTGTTTCTCGGAGTCCATAGTCTCTCATGGTTCATCTCTCCCTCCGATTTCCCCCTTCATTTTTCCCTTCCTTCTCCTAATGTCCTCCGTGCTATTCCTTATGTTCCCCAAATAAGTGAAATCATATGATAATTGACTTTCTCTGCTTGACTCATTTTACTTAGCATAATCTCCTCCAGTCCGAATCGATGTTGATGCAAACGTTGGGTATTCATCTTTCTGATGGCTGAGTAATATTCCGTTGTATATATGGACCACATCTTTTTTATCCATTCATCTGTTGAAGGGCATCTCAGCTCTTTCCACAGTTTGGCTATTGCGGACATTGCTGCTATGAACATTGAGGTGCAGATGGCCCTTCTTTTCACTACATCTGTGTCTTTGGAGTCAATACCCAGTAGTGCAATTGCTGGATCATAGGGTAGCTCTATATTTAATTT